AAACACACACACACACACACACACACACACACACACACACACACACACACACACACACACACACACACACACACACACACACACACACACACACACACACACACACACACACACACACACACACACACACACACACACACACACACACACACACACACACACACACACACACACACACACACACACACACACACACACACACACACACACACACACACACACACACACACACACACACACACACACACACACACACACACACACACACACACACACACACACACACACACACACACACACACACACACACACACACACACACACACACACACACACACACACACACACACACACACACACACACACACACACGTGTGTGTAAACACACACACACACACACACACACACACACACACACACACACACATATATATATATATATATATATATTCCGAAGAAATACGTTATAGCTGTTTCGGTATTTGTCTGGAGAAGGTACAGTGTACCGAAACAGCTGTAACATATTCCTTCGGAAAAGATAAATACGTATGAAAATCAATTAAAACTAAATTTCTTTGTTTCAAAAGTAGGTTCATTCGCCTTTGCGTATTTTGACGTCAAATTGCTATTGTAATCAGACCCCTGTACCTCAAGGCAACTCGGGGGTAGATTTCGTTGGCGTCCTGAGGGTGGAGAGGGCCCGAACACAATGAAAGTTCGTGATAATAGCTAAGAGTAAGGTAAAAAGAGAAATTAAAAAGAGTTTGATGGGAAAATTGTGATAGGGATATCATGTGTAGTTGAGTAATAGAAGATGGATCGAGAGGTTACTGGTTATGTTTAGGATCCTACAAAAAAAATTTTGAGTGCTATAAGAGGCTCTGTAATTAAATGTTCAAAAATGGCTATTTTCAGGAATTCTTTTTTTTTTTGAGGGAAAAGTAGTAGACCAATTAGAACGCATAGAAACTAATTTTCTTCGTCTTTTTAAGTGCTGTTTCACTCTAGCCATTGAAAAACGAAGTCAGGCATTCAATACCCTCTGGAGTTTAAGATTCTTTGTATCGTCTAGAGCCTGGTACACTAAGCATGCATAGTCAGAATGCGAGAAAATCAGACTTTTAACGAGCATTTTGTGCAGAGAGAGGGACAAGGAACGCCCGTAAAACCGGAGGAAGCAAAAAACACAGTTGTAACACTTCATTCATCTGTCTAGTCTAGTCCAAAACCAAATTAATGCTGACTCCAAAATTCTTAACTTCACTTATTTCAAAAGCACCTTATTTACATTTTCAAGAAATTCGCAAATCTATAAGTAATTTTGTGATAAATTTTTTTAATAGAAATGAACTGCCAGTCTGCATTCTGCATATTGCTAGATTTCATCTTAACACCCCTGCAGAATCTATAATTTTAGCCCTGAAAATATCGCCTGAGACCCTTGTCAACTTTAAAAAATCGAGAAAAATAGCATCAAATAAGTGGTTTCTCATTTTGTGTGAAACCTACTTATTTGCAAACGGCTATACTATATTTTAGAATTTCAACAATACTACAATTTTTAATGATTTTATCTTTCCCGTTTGTGCTATGGATGAATTCAACAGGAAAAAAGTCCGTTTGGTATAATATTTGCCATATTAACTCTATTTCCATACCAAAAAATGCTTAAAAATATAATTTTAAAAATAGTAGTAAAACGTGCAATAACAGATAAAAACAAAAGTAATACCTTCATGTACATGACCAAACACGTGGTACTTTGGTTTTACTCTATTTTGAACTGTACTCAGCAAATCTACGCAACCAGCCCTAACGCCGCTGCAACATAGATCACCATGACCAACGGGTGGAGTGTGCGTTACTAGTATATCAGTATCATCGGGAATCATATTCCACTTAGACAAACAGGATTCTCCACGTGGCAAGTTGAAAGCCCATTTGCAAAATTCTGGTTGCCTGCAATTAAGATTTTTAGAGGTATATACATTTAATTTTTTTTATTATTTTCTATACGTAAATATATTTAAACATTAATATTACACAAATGTACAGTGCAAAAATAAGTAAAGTTTAAAATTTGCTTTTAGATCCATTTGTATGGACGCTGGTTTGTCAGCGTTTAACATCTAGCGTAAAGGTCTCGTACACAAGTAACGTGACAAAAACTGTTAAACAAAACTGCTTTTATTGAAAAAAATAACTATTAGAAAGGTAGTTTAGCGTTAAATTTTTGAAATTAAACCTCCTGATCAGAAATCAGTTTGCAACACGTGTTTGATCCGATCACGTCGTTGAAAACTCCAGTTTGATAAGTAAAATATATGATTACGAAGCGCTGAGAGATAGTTCCCTACTGGTCCAACCGTGTCAGCTATGAATTTGACAGCAGTATATTGTTTTGAACTTGGCTCTAAAAAGGATACGCGTCTAGCAGACGAAAAAAATTATGCAAATTTAAAAAGTACATCAATTTTCTTGTAGCCTGTACATGTAGTTACTTACTTTTTTAAACTTAGTTCAGTTAAAATAAAATTATTTGATTGACTACGAAATAATAATAATTTTTTGCACGTTCCTATTGTTAATACGTAGTAACTTACATAAACCAAGAAGCAGTGTTGTCTGAGTGGTAAGCGTGCTTGTTACTGATATAACGTCGTTTTAGGGGTCGTAGGTTCCCGGGTGGATTCCCGGTGACAGCAGATTTTTTCAAAAACTGTTATCACCGGAAAAGTTCCTATTCAACCCCGGCTGTTGTGGGGCTGGTTTTTCCATGGAATTTTTTTTCAGAGTAATTCTAGGGTTATTTCATTACCCCACAGTTCTTCGGGCCTAGGTGAATGCGAAACAGTGTTAGGGCAGTAGGTAGGGATTAGCGGACCCGATGCGCCAAGCAGCGATCTCTCATCTTACTGGCGATAAGTAGAGATCCCTAAAACATAAGGCTTCTCCGAGGATGCTAATTAGCCTGGATCCGATGCTTCGACAGAGAGCGCCGGCTTAACCAGGGAGGGTGCCACCATTGGTGCAGAGAGTGTCAGCTTAACTGGCACGGCGTTTCACCGGAGATACCTCACTGTGCCCATGATAATATCAATTAAGGGATTGGTTAACGGGTGTAGCAATACACCCCCACACATAGATGGTGAGTGGGTGGCCCAGGTGACAAAGCGAATAGGCTGTCGCGGTAACCCGGTAAAAAAACATACATAAACCGAATTTATACTTGTATGACGTTCTCACACACAATAACTACTGTCTAGTTTTTTTGAAGAAAAGATGTTTTTTTCGAGATAACATAGCGAGTTTTAAATAAATGATAATTCTTAATGAAGGTTAAATATATAACTAAGTAACGACTGTAAATTTTCGGAAAATTGTTGGGGCCAAATTCTAATTTTAAACTTCTGATTTTGTTGTTTTTTTGTAGAAAAAACGTTTTTTTCGAGATAATATACGAAACTTTAAATGAATAATTCCCAATGGAGGTTAAAAGAAGTGTTAAGTGAAGTTACTATAGGTTTTTTAAAGTTTTGAAGCCAAATTCTAATTTTGAACTGCTGATTGTCTTATTTTTTCGAAGAACAGACGGTTTTTTCGAGATAATACAGCAAATTTTAAATAAATGATAATAGTTCTTGATGAGAGTTGAACATAGTATCAAGTATTTTTGCAATAAGTTTTCCAAAAATTTTTGGCACAAAAAGCATTAATTATCTATTTAAAATTTGCTGTAAAATGTCGAAAAACAAAGTCATTTCTTCTAAAAAATGAGATATTCAGCAATTCAGATTTTGAATTGGACTCCAAAAATTCTCAAAAAATTTACAGTTATATTATCTTCAAGCTCTATGAATAATTATTACCATTTTATCAAAACTCACCATCATACCAAAGTAGTCCGCAGATTAAAATGTGAATTATGTGGTAAAAATTGTTAAAAAATATGTACTAATAGTAATTTTTGTTATCTTCAATCTTCATCAAGAACTATTTTAATCAATGGAAAGTTCGCGAAGATATCTCGGAAAAACTGAAATTTTTTTAGTAATCTGTGTGTTAACATGCTACACACACACACACACACACACACACACACACACACACACACACACACACACACACACACACACACACACACACACACACACACACANAATCTTACATAATCTCTTACGGAATATTTAAAAAAATTTTATGAAGCTAAAACTGCAGTAGAATATTTTTAAAACGAATAAAAACGGTATGCTGGTATTACCGTGGTTGTGTACCTATTACCGTGTACGTATAGTGTTATGTTTACGTACGCTCACCGCAGAAATACGTACACAATCAGTTAATGAGCGCGTTGTACCGAATACCGTGGAAAATAATTATTTACTCAAAATATACACGAATATTTCTGTTTGAATTGCATCTACATTAACGTCATTTTAGATTATTAAAATTGAAAAATTATTTTATATGAAACATTTCTTATTTTGAGCAAGTAATCGTCAGTTTTTCAAAATCCACGGTAATAGGGCAGAGCACGGAGATAGGTACACTTACCCCTAGTGATTTTTACTGTTTGTACAATACAAATTACTGTCCGAAACGGTAAAAATTAGGTTGGCCAAAGTAAAAAGTCCCTAAACGGCGGAATGACATCAGATTACACGAAAAGACATTTTTAGTTGAAAATCCCCGACCACGATTTTTAACATCAAGTAATTAACTAACTAGATAGTATTAATGTCAGACCAGTAACTTTTCGCGCCAGTCTAGTAATTGAAATTTTTATCCCCACGTTAGTCACGAAAAAATGCATACTAAGTATGCGTATTCAGTGGCTGTGGTAGGTGTTTTTCGCCTACCAACAGTACGGTAGCTTCGAAAAATCAGTGGCATGCGCAGAGAGTGAGCAGTACATCAAATTCGCCGACTACTACTACTACTACCACACACACACACGCGCGCGCGGGCGCGCGCGTAACAGTATGTTATCGTGCGTTATTCCTTTCTTTAATTGCGTGAGGGGTAGTTGATTATGAGCAAACGCGAATCTTTTTCTTTATTTACTAAACTTTAATTATAAGTCATCATAATAAGTGGATATAGTCAACACAATCCGGTGTACTAAAAAGCACATACATAATGTTCTAACCTACAAAAGTATATCAACAAAGCAAGAACGTACATATATATACTTACACTACTGTAGCACAAGAGCTGAAAGACTCTTCTGCGCATGCGCTAATTTGCATTGCTGGAAGAAAATTGGTAGGTGAAAAACACCTACCAGGCACTGACATAATTCTGACTTGTGGTCGTAGTACGGGTAATATCCTTACCACGTACTGAAAAACTCATAACTGCTTGTGGTAGGGGATTTTCAACGAAAAAGGTCTTTCCGTGTACCATTCCATCACAGTTATTTTTATTATATTTTTCTCTCAGTGTAGGAAGATAAGTGGTATAATTTATAATTATAACAAGAACCGATTTAATTGATTTTGTTTTTAACAGATTCAAGTTATTAGAAAAAGTCGAAATTAGGTTTGAGTATTCAATTTATGTGTGAGATGAAACTATACAATCAGTTGTCAACGTAAAGAATTTATGTATTGTTTTTATAAAAATACAGATATGTGTACGTTTACAAATCCCAAATCAGTTGCGCGGAATATTTTCGTATACTTATAAGTACATAATAGCTCTGTCCTCGTGTTTACCTTTTCGGTAACCCGTGGTCTATGTGCATCTGTCAGAAAATGTACAAGTATATGCAACTGTGTATCTTACAAGTTTATAATTATGCAATGGAACTAATTACATACATATATAACTAATATTTTACGAACATACACAACAACTATGTAATCAATGTCGAAAACTATTTGATTTGATTTTTTAAGCTTTTTGAATTTTTGCTTTTTACCGCTTCGTGAATAAAAAAAGTAAATAACCATGAGATGATGCAGACTAATTCTAAAAACCTATGTGCGTCTCGTCGTCTCTGGCCGTTGTGGGAGTGATAAGGAAGCAAGATCTTCGGCTATATAAGCCCATGGCCTCCTGCACGAGCAGCTCAGTCTCAAAAAAATTCGTTCAATGGTCAGGCCAGCTTGGGTGTATACCTAGAGCAGTAGCCAGACTAAAGGCATACGACCTGGAGAACCCGGTCGATGCTTTCAATGGTCAGGCCAGCTTGGTAAGATACCGAAAGCAGTAGCCAGACTAGAATACACGACCTGGAGAATCCGGTCCACAGTTTCGATTTTAATTACATCCGGCCACCCGGATCTTGCTTCGAGAGCCACTTGTACCCGCCTTTTTTTCTTTTAATAAAAGTAAGTATTAATATTTTCTTCAAACTTAATTATTGTATACCCCCCAATAGTTTTTCTCTTCGCGTAAAACCCACTATTGCGTGTCGTTTAATCCGGATATTAATGGCCAAGCAGGTGGTGAAAGAAAATTTTAATTAAAAAATAATAAAAATCGAGTACCGCTAAGTTGTGTGCCGGTTGGTGAAAATGCCGATGGCCAAGCAACTAGCCT